GGGGGGTGGCTGTCATGGGTTCAAACCAACGCCTGCTGTATTACCCAGTTTAGAGTAGGCGATGGTTCAAACCCTTATCATTTCTATCTGAAGTCGTGGTTGGGGAGGTGTAAGGATGTCTTGTGCGCACCCTGTCCTTTTGGAGGGTCAGGCGTTAGAAGCAGCGCGGCATGTCGATGTGTACCCTATAGTTACGACTATAGGCGCAAGCAGTGACAGTAGTGTAAGTTTGCGCTGTGGCTCTATTCCTCTAAGTTTCAAGGGGAATGAAGAAATGAATGTGAAATGATAGAAGCATATGTCGTTGTGTACCCATAGTTACGACGAAAAGGAACGCAGAGCGTAGTTAGTTAGTAGCTTAAGCGCAAGCAGTGTAGTGTAAGTTTGCGCTGTGGCTCTATGTTCCTAGATTTCATGGGGATTGAAAGAACAGAATGCGAAATGCTGAGCGTATGCAGTTGTGATCGCCGTAGAACTCTAACTAAACAGATACTAGTAGGTGTACCTCTACTACATGTTCGTTCTTGAGTGTTTGCTTGACATTGTTGGTGTGGATAATTTTGGTAATAGAGGTAGTTCCTCCTCCCAACACCCCCCCTCGTCCCATTTCGCCCCTTTATGTTTTACTACTTTCACCCCTCTTTCTCTCTCCCCCCCCCCTCTCTCTCTCTCTCTCTCTGTCTCTCTCAGTGGGTAGTTGGCGAGTGCTGTGGTGGGGTTTGCTCCTTCTTTCCTATCAAACGTCTATCGTCCTCTTCTCCCCTCTTCCTATTTTGTGTTTGTTACTTTCTTGTAACACCTCTAATCTTCGGCACTTATATGACCTTATTGTGTAACAAGTGTCGTAAAACTCTTTACTAAAACTAAAGGGCTTACTTCTTTTCTTTTTCTCTATTTCTGCCTGCCGACTATCGTGCTTTTTCCCCCCTAGCACTAAAATAATGGTCAATATTGCCGCTTGCGTCTATCTATATACTTCTATTTACTTAAACTGCGACTGTGGGTGGTTGGCGGGTGCTCTGGTGTGGTTTGCTTCTTTCCTATCAAACATCTATCCTCCTTATCTCCCCTTCTTTTTTATGTTTGTTACTCTCTTGTAACACCTCTAATCTTCTGGCGCTCATATGACCTTATGCAGTTGCGAGCGACGTAAAACCTCTACTAAAGCTAAAAAACTGCGACTGGTTGCTGGCTGTATCACTAATAATACACCCTTTTAAAAAGAAATATCGCCCACCCCCCACCCCCTAGGTCCTTACTGAATAACCAATCTCTCTATAGTTTCTATCTTGTTATTTTCTTTCCCTACGTGGCTAGTGTATAATTTGTCCTACAATGAAGAGTTGGGTCGTTTGTTTTCCTTCTCGTTGCTCAAAAAAAGGTAATCATACCAGAGAGTTTTACAGTAATACAGTTACTGAACTGGGTCGGTTTCCTTCCCGTGACTCTATCTAGGTCACCGATGTACCCTACACCCCTGCTCTCTCCTCCTCAACTCCTCTGGCGCCCCCCCCCCCCTACAACCGTGAGGTGGCTGATGTACTTTTGGTTTCTGCCCTGTGGCCCTGAGGTTGTGCACAAGTCTTCATTTGTTCTCCAGTTCTTATTGTTTCCTTCGGGGGGGGTCGATGTTTTTTAAAAGTTTAAACTGAAACTTAGCTCCAGTGACTGACGCACGCACGCACACGCACACTCTCTCTCTCTCACACACACACACACACACACACGCACACACACACACACACAGACACACACAC